CCGAGCAGACAAGTGAATTAAATCGGTAAAAGTGCCCGGGCTGCGTCTCAGGTAATAGAGCTGATTTAATAGTAAATTGTTGAAGTACTTTAGCTGGTGCCGAGGCCGGGTGGAAAATAACCGAGCAGACAAGTGAATTAAATTGGTAAAAGTGCCCGGGCTGCGTCTCAGGTAATAGAGCCGATTTAATAGTAAATTGTTGAAGTACTTTAGCTGGTGCCGAGGCCGGGTAAAAAATAACCGAGCAGACAAGTGAATTAAATTGGTAAGTACTTTGGCTGGGTGGAAAACAACCAAGCAGACAAGTGAATTAAATTGGCAGAAGTGCCCAAGCTGCGTCTCGGATAATAGAGCCAATTTAATATTAAATTGGTGAAGTACTTTGGCTGGTGCTGAGACCGGGTGGAAAATAACCGAGCAGACAAGTGAATTAAATCGGTAACAATGCCTGGGCTGCATCTCGGATAATAGAGCCGATTTAATATTAAATTGTTGAAAGTACTGTAACTGGTGCCGAGGCCGGGTAAAATATAACTGAGCAGACAAATTAATTAAATCGGTAACATTGCCCAGGCTGTGTCTCGCATAATAGAACCTGTTCAATATCAAATTATTGAAGTACTTTGGCTGGGTGGAAAACAACCGAGCAGACAAGTGAATTAAATCAGTAAAAGCGCCCAGGCTGCATGTCGGATAATAGAGCCGATTTGATATTAAATTGGTGAAGTACTTTGGCTGGTGCCGAGGCCAGGTGAAGAATAACCAAGCAGACAAGTGAATTAAATCGTTAAAAGTGCCCAGGCTGCACATCGGATAATAGAGCCAATTTAATATTGAATTGTTGAGGTACCTTGGCTGGTGCCGAGGCTGGGTGGAAAATAACCAAGCAGACAGGTGAATTAAATTGGTAAAAGTGCCTGGGCTGCACATCGGGTGACAGATATTAAATTGTTGTACTTTGGCTGGTCCGAGGCCACGTAAAAAATAACATCGCAGAGAAGTGAATTGAATTGGGCATGGGTTGCATCTTGGATAATAGAGTCAATCTAACATTAAATTGTTGAAGTACCTTAGCTGGTGCCATGTCTCGGTGCGAAGTCACCAGTCAAAATGCCCAGGCTGCTGCTTGTGATTAGATATCAAATTGCTATGCCATGTCTGGATGCAAAATAACCAAGAAAATGGGTGAATTGAATCGGTAAAAATAACTGAGCTGCATCTCGGGTGATACAGCCGATTTAATATTGATTTGTTGCAGTCCTTTAGCTGGTGCCATGGCTGGGTGCAAAATGACTAAGCAGACAAGTGAATTAAATTTGTAGAAATGCCCGGGTTGCACATCGGATAATAGAACCGATTTGATATTCAATTGGTGAAGTCCTTCAGCTAATGCCATGTCCGGCTGCAAAGTTGCAAGTGAATGGATTCTCCTGCCATCCCACCATCCCACCATCCTATCATCCCGCCATCCCGCCATCCTACCATCCCACCATCCCGCCATCCCGCCATCCCGCCATCCTTCCATCCTTCCATCCTGCCCTCCTGTCATCAGCATTATATCTTGACCATTACTGGGCCACTTCTATCCAAAAACCCTGCTAATTATATCTTGATGTAGTCTATGACATACTCAAAACAAGAACGTATAGTAGTGTAGTTGACATGCATCTCCCTCAATGTTCCCCATGGTATGTATACCTTTACTGTAGTCTCCCCAAAGCAGAAAGAATACAGTGTATATTATATATGCTTAATGTGTGGTAGCTCAGAATAGCCATTTGGGGTTCTGAGTATCTGTATTGCACAAAATGCCCAGAAGACATATAAATCCCATGGGAGTTCCAGAGGAATATGTTCAATTATTATTTGCAAGACATGAAGATATAAGGTTCTAATTGGAGAACTTACCTGGTAAATGGTGCATGGAGAGGAGGGAGGAATACATTGTATCCATTCGTTACATCACCACAGTTTCACCAATGAGAGTCAAAAGTGGGTGGAGGTAGGGATGGGATAGCTAGAAAGAGTTTAAAAGGAATTACAGAGATTGACNNAGACAGATAATGATTTCAGAAGATATATATGGAGCAGGACAATGGTACGTGGATAGTCACTAACATTCTACCCATATCTCGGTATCCACCAAACACATATTCAAAACATCCGGCCTTCCTTACCTGATCAATACTCTTTGAACAACCTAATAGCTACCCCAGCCTTAAGTGAACCCCACACCATATATAATAAACACCACCAAGATATGATTAGGAACTTGTTTGGAGAGAAATAGTCCAGTAACAGTGGAAATACTATACTCATGACTGGTGGGCAGAATGGGGGCGGGATTACACCTATTGGAGAAACTAGTGCCTGATTTAGTAATTGTCGGTCAACAATGATGGCATTGAGAGGGGGCACCAGGCAGATGGTGTGAAAGTTATAACTAACTTGTCTCTTTGGCATTGGTGTATGAATGGCTCCGAGCTCAGGGAACAACTCTCATGAGTTGTGTTATCTTGTCTGCTCGGTAATATTACACCCAGACTGAAATGATACGGATGCAACCCAGGCATGTTCAGTGATATACTTCACTTGTAGGCTCGGTAGTGGTCCACTTGAACAAAGCATGGTTGAAGTACTTCCGGGCATTTTTACCAATTGAATCCACTCAGTTGTGGCTTTGCAGCTGGGCACGGGGGTGGCTGAAGGACTTTAATATTTAATCACTAGCATTACCCAGGGTGAGGCCTGGGCATTTTTGCTAATCTGGTTCACTTGTCTGCTTGGTGATTATGCATCTGGACATGGCAGCAGCTGAAATACTTGGACAGTTTAATATGAAATCGGTTCTGTCATCCAAGATGCAGCCCGTGCATTTTTACCGATTTAATGCACTTGTCTGCTCCATGATTTTGCACCCGGACCAACTAAGGTAATTCAACAATTTAATATGAAATTACCAGCATCACCTGACATGCAGCCCAAGTGTTTTTACCAATTTGGTTTATTTGTCTGCTCTGTGATCTCGCATCTGGACACGGCACCAGTTAAAGTACTTCACCAATTTAATATTAAATCGGCTCTATTACCCGAGACGCAGCCCGGGCACTTTTACCAATGTAATTGACTTGTCTGCTCGGTTATTTTCCACCCAGCCTCGGCACCAGCCAAAGTACTTCACCAATTTAATATTGAATCGGCTCTATTATTTGACATGCAGCCTGGGCACTTTTATCGATTTAATTCACTTGTCTGCTCGGTTGTTTTCCACCCAGCCAAAGTACTTCAACAATTTAATATTAAACAGGTTCTATTATGCGAGACGCAGCCTGGGCAATGTTACCAATTCAATTCATTTGTCTGCTCGGTTATATTTCACCCGGCCTCGGCACCAGTTAAAGTACTTCAACAATTTAATATTAAATCGGCTCTATTACCCGAGACGCCAGCCCAGGCATTGTTACCGATTTAATTCACTTGTCTGCTCGGTTATTTTCCACCCGGCCTCGGCACCAGCCAAAGTACTTCACCAATTTAATATTAAATTGGCTCTATTATCCAAGACATAGCCCGGGCACTTTTGCTGATTTAATTCACTTGTCTGCCCGGTTGTTTTCCACCCAGCCAAAGTACTTATCAATTTAATTCACTTGCCTGCTCGGTTATTTTTTACCCGGCCTCGGCACCGGCTAAAGTACTTCAACAATTTACTATTAAATCGGCTCTATTACCTGAGACGCAGCCCGGGCACTTTTACCAATTTAATTCACTTGTCTGCTCGGTTATTTTCCACTCGTCCTCGGCATCAGTTAAAGTACTTCACCAATTTAATGTTAAATCGGCTCTATTACCCGAGACATAGCCTGGGCACTTTTACCGATTTAATTCACTTGTCTGCTTGGTTATTTTTCACCCGGCCTCGGCACCAGCCAAAGTACTTCACCAATTTAATATCAAATCAGCTCTATTATCCAAGATGCAGCCCAGGCACTTTTACCGATTTAATTCACTTGTCTGCTCGGTTATTTTCCACCCAGCCTCGGCACCAGCCAAAGTACTTCACCAATTTAATATCAAATCAGCTCTATTATCCAAGATGCAGCCCAGGCACTTTTACTGATTTAATTCACTTGTCTGCTCGGTTATTTTTCACCCGGCCTCGGCACCAGCCAAAGTACTTCACCAATTTAATATTAAATCGGCTCTATTACCCAAGATGTAGCCTGGGCACTTTTACCGATTTAATTCACTTGTCTGCTCGGTTATTTTTCACCCGGCCTTGGCACCAGCCAAAGTACTTCAACAATTTAAGAGTAAATCGGCTCTATTATCCAAGACTCAGCCCGGGCACTTTTACCGATTTAATTCACTTGTCTGCTCGGTTATTTTCCACTTGTCCTCGGCACCAGTTAAAGTACTTCACCAATTTAATATTAAATCGGCTCTATTACCCAAGACGTAGCCTGGGCACTTTTACCGGTTTAATTCACTTGTCTGCTCGGTTATTTTTCACCCNGGCCTTGGCACCAGCCAACGTACTTCAACAGTTTGGGATTTAAATGCCTGCATCACCCGATGTGCACCTTTACTGATGTAATTCATGTCTGCTTGGTGTAATTTCACCCGGACATGGTGCCAGCTCACACATCCTTTCCCTGAAAAATGCACTGGCCCAGACACAATGATTTAATATGGAATCGGCTCAATCACTCAAGGTGAAACCCGGGTATTTGTACTATTTCCCACTTGTCGGCTCCATTATTTTGCATCTGAACATGTTTGATTGGCTGTTTCCATGCATTTATACAGATTCAATGACCTTGTCTGCTCAGTAACTTTGCACCAGAATACAGGACCAGCTAATGTACTCACTGGCCTGATGCAAACATAAAACCAGAGGGTGATTTTGAATGCAGGACATGGCAAAGAACACTGGGGGGTTGGTACAACATATGAACAAGTAAACTTAGTTAGGCCATGTGTTAGCCAGGCTGGCTATCATCACGGGACAGATGGCAACATAAATTGTTTAATTGGAGAAAAGCCAAAGAATGGTAGGGAGTGTGGTGCCGACTGGGCCAGGCCATATCCAGGCTGGAGATGGCAACAGATGGGGGCCGGCCTCATCTCTGCTCGGGGCTCACAATGAGATTCATGACCTCGGGTATGTAAACTGACTTTGCCGAGCCAGGGTGCGGCAAGTGGGCTGATCCATATTGTGAGGAATCAAAAGCTGTTCAGCTGACCCACAATCCAAGGCAATTTCAGCAGGGTCAATTCATCATTAGGCTGGTCGGCCGGCACACAGAACCACTCCTCAAGAAGATATGGGTGGCCAAGCCAGCTTTGATGGGGTCAACATATACATCGGCTCATCAGCAGGCACCATCAACCATGGCCTGTTTGTATGGTCAGGGGGCTCAGTGTTGTTGGGGTAAGGTCACTAATACTTGTGCTGACTTGGGCTAGATACGCAGTTCGGACAACTTTTCGAAATTTT